TGGCAAGCAAGTGGGACAGCACTGGAGCAGAAGGAAATGTTTGTACATGGATGGAGGGATGGATGGATGTGTGGATAGAAGGATGGGTGAAGGCATGGATGAATAGATGATGGATGAGAGGTGGATGGATGAGTAGATATATATAGATATAGCTGTATATGGCTGTGTACATATACATATATTTTAAAGATTTTATCGGGGAATCGAGGGAGGGAACAGACAAGTTGCTGTCCTTTGGTTCTTCAGTCTAGTTGTGAAGGACGTTGCTTCACTGGCCCATGTTGTTATTATGTTCACTGCTCTCTTCCCTGCTGAGGCAGCCAATCGCTGGCCATTGGACAGCTGCTCACGGTGGCTCACGGCAGCTCACGGCAGTTCTCGCCAGCTGCTCACCACTCATGCTGGCTGCAGGCCACTCACGGTAGCTCCCGGCAGCCCACTGCAGCCTCACTGCAGCTTACGCTGTCGCTGGCAACTCACGACAGTCCAGCTCCAGGTTGAGCTGCTGTTCACCATCTTAGCTGTAGAGGGTGCAGTGTCACTGGCCCATGGGGGAACTGAACCTGCGGCCCTGCTGCTCAGAACTTGCACTCCCAAGCCAATTCTTAACGAACTGAGCCACTTGGCTGGCCCTGGCTGTGTATATTAATTAATGCTGCATTTTCTGGTTCCTATAATATGAGAGGATACCTTACCTACTTATTGACTTGTGTCCCAAACCTCCAAATGACCAAAGCCCTGAAAATCATTTCTAAATTCTTTGTCAGAAATAGTCACACTGTGATGGATTCAGAATCAAGACATGACTGGTTAGCCTCACCCCTGAGGCAAATACACAAACTAAGTTTCTCAAAGATAATTATTTTGCTTGAATACCATCTCATATTCATACTCTAGGCATATTCCAAAAGTTCTCCTTTTGGGGGTTATTTGGCTCAAGAATAAAGTCATTGTGTTTGGGACTGTTTTTATTGTTGCTTTGGCTTCAGAATCCTTGCTTCTAAAGTGTAAGTTAAGTTTGTGGCAATGATCAAGTGAGAGATTCTAGGATATCTTAGGTCACCCTTGAGGCTAATACATGTGCACTGGTAGTTATCTGGTGGTATGCATCCAGCTGTGGGCCCAGGAACAAGAAGATGAGGCCAATTCCACAGGCTCACTCAGGGTCGGGCTGGAGCCAAGAAACAGTGACTGTGGACTGGACAGCTGACTTAACTTGTGCCTGGGTGACCTGTCCAGCACCACGATGGCTCATCCAACGATAAGGCCAGGAACAGGGCTAGAGAAGAGGGAAGCGAGTCAGGAGCAGAAATCTTTGTAATGGGTAGTTTTTTGTGTTGACTGGGCTCTAGTACCCAGTCATTGAATCAAACACTGATCTAGGTGCTGCTGTTGAGGTATTGAGTAGATGTGGTTAACACCTATGATTAACTGACTTTAAGTAAAGGAGGTGACCCTCACTAGTGTGGGTGGGACTCATCCAATTTACTGAAGGCCTTAAAATGGAGATTTCCCAAAGAAGAAGAAATTCTGTTTCAAGACAATAGTGTCAACTCCTACCTGAGTTTCCAGCCTGCCCTACAAATTTCAGACTTGCCAGCATCCATGAGAATGTGAGCCAAATTCTTATAATAATTCTCTTTATGTATGTGTGTGTATGTGTGTGTATATATTTCCTATTGGTTCTGTTTCTCTGGAGAACCCCAACTGATCAAGGGAAAGAGAGGATCAATGATGAACTTCATCTCCTGACTCCAGGGGTGAGGGTGCTGAATACACTAAAGAACAATCTGAATTGAAAGGTCTCCGGAGGAAGCTCCTCCTTCTCTTGACCAGTCACACAACTTTCTTGGCCTTACCCACACACGTCTCTCTTCTCTCTGGAATGTGCCCATCACTCCACCTATGCATTCAGCGAGCAAGCCTTTGGAAGCACCTTCTATGTTATGGGCGCCGTGCTAGACAGTGGAGATATTACGCTACAAGACAAAGTGCAATGTGCTTTCCCCTTTGGCTCACTTCTTGGCTTGTTTGTTGAGACCCAGTTCAAATGCTGATCCCCAGGAGACTTTACCCAGCCCTGCAGGCAGTCTCCAGTTCCACCCATGGCAGGGCAGCACTCTGTCCACACTGTGTCCTGGCATCCATCACCTGTGTCATTGGTGGTAGTGCATGCGTCTGCCTCCTTGGTTTGACTGAGTGGGACCTTCCTCTAGAAGTTTCCTGACTAATCCTGCAATGCTATCCCATTCTGTCCACCAGGCTGCTAAGCCAGTGACTGCAATGTTTACTGACCCCCTTATTTTCTTGTACATGAGCATTTTCTTTTACAGAACTGTAAGGGTCTAAAAAGCAGGTACCGAAACTATTTGTTGAGTCAGTCAAATATGCTGGTTGTGCTACGGTGTTAAGTAACCCCAAAGCCTTAGCCCCTTCATATAGAAGATAGTTTTTCTTGCTCATGCTGCATGGCCACCATGGGCTAACAGGGACTTTGTTCATTGTGGCATTCACTCGCTTGGTCACCGAGGTTCAGGGGATAGCTACTGCTTGAAATGTTGCCATTGCCAAGGAGAAGGAAGGAGGCCCTGGAGGATCTCACTCTGACAGCGATATGCTCTGGTGAGACACATCACTCTGCTCCAGAGGCAGTCTCTCAGTGGGGCTCAGAAAGTGCCATCCTACTGTGTGCCCCATGGTGAGTTAGGAATACTTGGTGAACAGCATTCACATTCATCCTTACCTACTGACTTGATTTTAGGGACTAGTGAAGTACCTACAATCACCAGCTAAATTAATCCATGAGCATCTCAAAAGCAGAAATGGAAACAATTCACCTGTGGGGCCCAAGCATCTAGCAAAATGTCAACAAAGCTACATCAATGCTTGGATAACTGCACGATCACAAGCATACACCAACCTTAGCGACACCGTGGGTTTCTGAGATGTACGTTAGTGCAGCCCACACTGCGGGCGAGCCCCTCTTTATATTCAGTGTTTAAGAGACAGTGTGGTGAGGTGGAAAGAGCTTTCACTTTGCATGCACATCCGGATCTTCTGTCTGGTGGCTGTTGATGACAGCTTGGCTGCTTGAACTTCAGTTTTCACCTGTAAGGAGGTGTGTTCTCAAGACCAGGATGCTGCTACTTCCTGATGGGCTGGAGGCTGTCCCAAGCTGCCGTTGCCACCGCATAGGGGCCCAGGAGTCCACAGTCCAGCGGCTGCTGTTGAAACCTTTCCAGTTCTGCTGAGGGCAGCCATCTGGAGCTGCAGCTGGAGTGCTGGGTGTGAACATGCTGCTGTGAGAGGCTGTGTGAGTTTCCTGAAGCTGCCATCACAAAGCACCACCAACAGGGTGGTGTCAAAGAACAGACAGTTTTCCCACAGCTCTGGAGGGCAGAAGTCGGAAATCAAGGTGCCAGCCGGACGGTTCCCTCTACGGGCTCTGTGAGAGGATCCTTCCCGCCTCTTCCAGCATGTGGTGCGGTGGTGCTCCTTGGCGTTCCTTGGCATCACTCCCATCTCTGCCTCGGTTGTCACATAGCATTTCCCTGTGTATTACTGTGTCCAAATTTCCCTCTTTATGGAAGGGCATTGGTCACATCGGATTAGAGCCCACCTTAATTCAGTGTGACGTCAACTGACTTGATTACATCTAAAAAGACCCTATTTCTGAATAAGGTCACATTCAAAGGTTCTGGGTTGATGTTAATTTGGGGGGGGGGAACACACTATTTGACCCACTATAGAGATCTTGCAGGAGCAGAACAAAAGGGCCTTTTTCTTCCCTTTAGCTCTAACCTCCCATCCATGGGTCACCAGGAAGCCAGCTGGCAGTGTGTCCAGGACACAGAGTTTGCAAGCTTTCATTCCCTTAGCCACAGAGGAGAGCACAGAGGATAGGAATGGACTGAGAGTCAACAGAGAAATAAGTGGCTGGTGTGACCCTAGGAATAGAAACAACCGTGGTCACTGGCTCAGCTCAGGAGTTTGGGCACTACAGAAGAGAGCTTGTGTCCAATCTGAGAGCATTTTCTCAGACTTTTCAAGGCAGTTACAATATCCATCTGGTCAGAAGCTCAATGTTACCTTAACAAGGGCACTGGATTATTCTAGAAGCATTTTGAATCTATGTTCTCATTCACCCTTCCAACACGTCAGCCTGCTCATCTCTAATCAACGTCTTCTCAGAATTGTTGGTCGCGTTACCTCTGTGCCTGAGCAGGGGCTACTTTCATTGCTTGCTGGCCTCCTCATCTCTCTGAGTGGCCGTCCTGCTCAATAGCTTGTCTTACTGTCCCCTAAGCTCTGGATCATGTCTTAAAGCTCTCTAGTGGATTTGGAACAAACGCAGATCTGAAAATTTTAGAGGAGTGGTGCAGAAGCAATTCACACAAAGCAGAAATCAAAATTAAAGCAGACCTTGGGAGCCATGCCTATAGCTTTGCTTTTATAATTTTTCTATCATATAAATAACCAATGTTGATGAAAAATGTTAAAATATTAGAAATTTCTGAAACAAAAATTTAAAATCATGGTTAATATTTTGATGTTTTAATTCTACCCCCAGGTGATTTTCCAGTGCTTGGTAATCTTAAAAAAAAAAAATTCTTGAAAAAAATAGCTGGGACTTGCTGCCAATTAATCAAGGGCAACAGGGTTTCCAGCTGGAAAAGTGTTGGCAGGGTCCAGAGGTGGTGTACTGAAAAAAAGAGTAAATATAAGGTTTACAAACAATTTTAGAATTTCAAAGATGTGGTCATGAGCCAGCACTGTTTCAGCAGACGGTAAATGATTTACTAGCCCAGGATTCACTTAGGAATAAAATTAATTACCCCAAAGCTAGTAGGAATCCAAAAAAGGCTGTTTGAGCCACCCAATCAGTGTCACTAAAATCCATGTTCTGAAGTCTGTGCACTTTGTTTTTCAATCAGAGGAGGTGCCTTTCTGATCCTTACTCTCAGGTTGGTTTCAGCTCATTCTCTGTGCGTTTCTAACAGGGGTTTATTAGACTCCTCCAGTCAGAAGTCAGACTCAAGCAGAGAAACATCACTCAGCTCCATAGTCCTTGGCTGTACTCAGAACATGAGATAAATATGACAAAAGAAAAGAAAACCCCTCGAAGAATAAAGAGCAAAGTGGGGCCACCTGTGTGCCTGAGTACATCTTCACAGGAAGAGAAAGCAAAGGAGGTGAGGGGGGAACTTCTGTTCAGGGCATTCTGAGAGGCCAAGGAAACGGGAAACATTCTGAAGAATTTGTACCTCAAAGTTAAATTTTGCCTTATTTGTTCTCATTTTAAAAACAATTTAATTAGATATTACTGATCTACCAAACAATTCACCCATTTAAAGTGTATAACCCATTCTTTTTTTTAGCATATTCACAGGCTTGTGCAACCATCACCACAATCTAACCTTACACAGTTTTGTCCCCCCGCCCCCAAAGAAACCTCTCATCTTTTCCATTAGCAGACATTTCTCAACCCTCCCACCTCAAACCCTAGGCAACCACTAATTTAGTTTCTCTCTATACAGATTTGCTTATTCTAAACATTTCATATAGATAGAATTGTACAATATGTTGTGATTGGCTTCTTTTATTTAGCATAATGCCCTTAAGATTCATCCACATTTTGCACATATTAGTATTTCATTCCTTTTTAGAGCCAAATAGCTCATTGAATGGTTATATCACATTTTATTTATTAATTCATCAGTTGGTGAAATTTAGATTTTTTCTACTTTTGGGCTATTATGAATGATGCTGCCATGAACATTTGTTTACAAGTTTTCATGTGCATATATGTTTTCATTTGTCTTGATAGACATCTTGGAGTAGAATGGCTGGGTCATATTCTATACTTAACATTTTGAGGGACTCCCAAATTATTTTCCAAAGTGGCTGCACAATTTCACAGGCTTGTGCAAAATTCCAAGCAATGTATATATTCTTCCAAGCAATATATAAAGGTTTCAACTTCTCCACATCCTCACCAACACTTGTCATCATCTGTCTTTTTTATTCTAACCATCCTAGTGGGTGTGATGTGGTATCTCATTTGGCTTGGTGTTGCATTTCCCTAATATCTAATGATGTTGTGCATCTTCTCATCTTCTGATTGGCTGTTTGTATATCTTCTTTGCAGAATCCTTAAATCCTTTGTTCTTTCAAAATGGGATGGTTTGTCTTTTATTGTTAAGAGTTCTTTATATATTCTGAATACAAGTCCCTTATCAGATATAAACATACATATATTTATGTATTAAATATTTTATACATCTCAGGTGTATGATCATGTTTCATTCTATGGGTTGTCTTCACTTTCTTGATGGTATTGTTTCCAACACAAAAGTTTTTTATTTGATAAAGTCCAATTTATTTTACATTTTGTTGCTTGTATTTTTGGTGTCAGATCTAACAAACTATTGCCTAACCCAAGGACATGAAGATTTACTCCTATATTTTCTTCAAAGAGATTTCTTGTTTTAGTTGTTATAATTTTGTCCATGGTCTATTTTGAGTTATTTTTTTTGTATAGGATGTGAAGTCGGAACTCAACTTCATTCTTTTTCATGTGGATACACAGTTGTCCCAGAATCATTTGTTGAAAAGACTATTCTTTCACCCATTAAGTTGCCTTGGCACCTTTGTTGAAAATCAACTGATTATAAATGTGAGGGCTTATTTCTGTACTCTCAATTCTATTCCATTCAACTATATGTCCATTCTTATGCCAAAGATAAGGACCAAGAAGAGTAACCATGCTCTCTTGGTTACTGCAGCTTTGTAGTTAAATTGGAAACAGAGAAATGTAAATTTTCCAAGATTATTTTGGACATTGTTTCCAAAAGTTTAAAGAAAATTAATTGTAGAACAATCAAATAAGTGAGTTTCTCTTGTCAAGAGAATTAAGTGGTAATAATTCCTTCAAAGATTTGACATTCCAGTGGTTATCATGTGTCTTCATACCAGCAGCACCATAGGCATGATGTAAACCTTGACTTATAAATTCCATGCAATAGTCCTAAGGTTCAGAGGGTGAGTAATTTTTCTAAGGTCTGCGATATAATAAGAAATGTATATTTGATCTCTGCTCCTGATCCCTGACACAGAGCTCCTACATCCCTTGGAATGTCCTGGGTGTTAGGAGTGTCTTTTGTTCTAAGGAGGTGACTCTGGGTAGACTCTTGAAGGGGGGCTGGTCACCAGAAAGACCAAGCCAGGATCAGAAGCTTGGAACTTTCAGCCTCATTTCCACCTTTCAGAGAGAAGAGCTTGAGTTAATAAGAGATTTCCTGTGTGATGAAGCCTTCATAAAAATGCCTGAACTATGGAGTCCAGAGATCTCCAGGTTGAAGAACACATACAGGAGGATGGCAGCACTCCCCAGCTCACTGGGGACAGCAGATCCTATGCTCAAAGTCCTCTGGACCTCACCCTATGTACTTCTCTTCATCTGACATTCATCTGTATCCTTAACAATATCCTTTATAATAAATCAGTAAACATGCTTCCCTGAGTTCTGTGAGCTGTTATCGCAAATTATTGAACTGAAGGGGTAGTTGCAACCCCCAATTTGTAGCCGAGTTGGACAGAAGTGTGGGTAAGCCAGGGACTCACTACTTACAGTTGGCATCTGCAGTGGGGGCAGTATGGGATTGAGCCCTTAACCTCTGGGGTCTGCATTAACTCTGGGGAGTTAGTGTCAGAATTGAGTTCAATGGTTATACACCCAGTTGGTGTCCACGGAAAACTGGAGAACTGCTTGCTGTGGAAAACTCACACATTTGGTGTCAGAAGTGCTGTGAGTAGAGGAACATTTTACTCTGAGGTCACACAGCTGAGAAACAATGGAGACGATGAAGTCTGTCTGTCAAACCCTAGAACCTATACTCTTATTAGACTGCTTTCTGGTAGACTGATACTGACCTTCAGTAGTCACTGGAGGGGCAAGATGACACTGCAACTGTTCAAAACAGTTACAATGCTTTTATTGGGGTAAAATTTACATAATACAAAATTAAGTATTTTATCTTTTTTAGAAGAATAAATACCTTTATTACATGAGCTAATATAAGAGGAAGGAGGATTTATAAGAATATGGAATGCTTCGTGAATTTGCATATCATCCTTGCGCAGGGGCTACGCTAGTCTTCTCTGTATTGTTCCAATTTTAGTATATGTGCTGGCTACAATTCAGTGGCATTAAGGACATTCACAATTTATTGCAACCATCACCACCCTCCATCTCCAGAACTCTTTCATCTTGTAAAACTGAAACTGTCTTCATTAAACAATAGCTCCCCAGCCCCTGGCAACCATCATTCTACTTTCTGTCTCTAAGAATTTGACTCTTCTAGATACTTTTTATAAATGGAATCATACAGTATTTGTCTTTTTGTTTCTGGCTTATTTCACTCAGCATAATGTCCTCAAGTTTCATCCATGTTGCAGCCCATATCAGAATTTCCTTCCTTTTTAAGGCTGAATAGTATTCCATTTTATGGATGGATCACATTCTGTGTATCCATTCATCCATTGATGGGACATTTGGATTGCTTCCACCTTTTGGTTATTGTGAATAATGCTGTTACCATTTTAGCCATTTTTAAGTGTACAGTTTGGTGGTATCAACATTCACATTATTGTGCAGCCATCCCCACCCTCCATCTGCAGAGCTTTTCTTATGTTCCCAAACTGAAACTCTAAACAATACTTAATCCATTTGCTATATTTTCTTCATCCATTCATCCATTGATATGAAATTTATTTTAATAATGTATTTTACTTAATCCCAGATACCCCACATATGATCATTTCAACATGTAATGAATGTTGATGTTCTTAATGAGATGTTTTATGTTCCCTGTTCAGTATTAAGTCTTTGGAGTCTGGTGTGCATTTTGCATCTAGAGCACAGCCCCTGTGGGAGCATTTAGCTATCTGTGGGGAGTAGCTACTGTCTGGCACCATGATTCTAGTTCTCTCAACTGAGCACTACCTCCCGAAAGTTACGCTAGCATGCATGTAAGAGTGTGCGCTCTCCTTGGGGGGCAGCACCTCTGTGTGGCTTCTGAAGGTGGCTGAGGTGGGTAGGATCGATTTGCCTCGAGGGTAGAGACTGGAAGGCTAAAGCTTGCATGGCCTGGGTGCTTATGTGCCTGGGGTCCAGAGGCACTCTCACAGCACTGGAGGCAGAAGTGAAGTGGATTGCTGTTTTTGCTGGCCAGCATAGAAGAGTTTGGTTTTCTGTGGCAATGTTGGTGAAGGTTGCTTTGTCCAGTGCTGGCTTCTCAGGGTCGTGGGCAAGGTGCTGTCCGTCTTGTTGCTGCAGATAGTGGCACGTGCAATGGGTCCAGGAGTTGGCAGCTGAGTTGGGGCTTCGGGATGGGGCAGTGTGCTCTGGTTCTTATTTAAGAGGGAGCAGCAGCTCCCCTGCAGGCTGGGTTAGGCAGCTTGCTTCTGCTATCCCACTAACCCTGTCAACCATGTCATATATCCACGCTTACTTGAAGTGGCTTGACTGCATTCTGTTCTTTGTGACACAGATATCCCAATGGACTTGGAACCTGTTATGGGCTGAATGCTGGTTCCCCGCCCTCCCCCCCACTGCCATATTTATATTTTGAAACCTTAATCCCCCATTGTGATCATATTGGGAGGTGATTAGAATTAGATGAAGTCACAAGGGTGGAGCCCCCATGATGGGATTAGTCCCCTTATAAGAGTCATAAGAGAGCTTGCTTCCCTTCTCTGCCTGATCTCGGACTTCCAGCTTCCAGAACTGTGAGAAGTAAATGCCTGTTCTTTTTAAGCCAACAAGTCTGTAATACTTTGTTACAACAGCCCCAGCAGACGAAGACAGAACCTTCTATTGGCATTAAGGTATATATCTGCATACCAGCCACACAGTTGCATTAAAATACTGAGAAGACAATGTCACCTCACACATACCTGCTTCCTTTATATGATGCCATGGGTTGCACTTACAGTTAAAATAGGCCTTCTTTGCTGAGGAAGTCTGTGTCACTAAACAGATGATACATGTTAATACTTAAATTTCTGTCTAACTTTCTATAGGCAGCTTCTCCAATTACATAAAGTACTGAATATTAGATCATAATTTAATTTTATAATAATTTCAGGAGAGAGAAGAGATTAGGGGAGAGTCTATAACTCATGCCAACTTGGAAAATTGATGAAATAGATGGAAAGAAAGTTGATTATGGCTTTAGAAGGACATTAATATTATGGAAGATGTTTAAAGAACAATTTCCTCTGTAAATTACAAAGCAATTTAGGAAACCAATCCATAAATATTTTAGAAATAAATTTTTTCTTTAAGAAGAAATTACAATCTGTGCCTCCCATTTCCCCGCTGTCAGTCACATAACTGAATTGTCTTGTATTTTATTTAAATGTAATATACATATGTCAGACTTAAGTGTTTCAGGATTGTGTTGCAGAGTCTCTTGAGAGATAAGCACATTCTAAACAGCCAACTAATGTGATATTTATGCTAATGTAAATGCTGCAAAGACAGCTGGCACATCCCTTTGAACACTGTGAATGAACATCCGCATAGACGTACTTGACAAAGAGTTTTAGTGGTTTCTGTAAAGTGAGAGACTTAGCTTAGGCTATTCTGTATTCTGCGATGCTTTCTGTACTGTGCACTATCCCCAAAACATACGAGGTCTGACAATTAAGTAAGTGAACTTGTTGCAACAATGTTGCTAACCTTTTGTGATATCAGAGGAATTATTCATTATGAATTTGTACCAACTGGACAAACACTTAACCGGTTTATTATTGGGAAGTGCTGAAAAGGCTGTGTGAAAAAGTTAGACGAACCTTAACTTTTCACCAACAATTCATGGCTCTTGCATCACAACAATGTACCAGCTCACACGGCACTGTCTGTGAGGGAGTTTTTAGCCAGTAAGCAAATAACTGTATTGGAACACCCTCCCCACTCACCTGATCTGGCCCCCAATTACTTCTTTCTTTACCTGAAGATAAAGGGAATATTGAAAGGAAAATATTTTATGACATTCAGGACATCAAGGATAATATGATGACAGCTCTGATGGCCATTCTAGAAAGAGTTCCAAAATTGCTTTAAATGGTGGATTAGGCACTGGCGTGGGTGCAAAGCTTCCCAAGGAGACTGCTTCAAAGGTGGCCATCGCGATATTCAGCAATGAGGTATGTAGCACTTTTTCTAAGATGAGTTTGCAAACTTAATTGTCTGACCTTGTATATAAACACAGATACACTCACCTACACATATGACCACACATGCAAGCGTAGAGCCTCACAGACACTTACATATATATACACACAAATTCATGCACACACAAAGCACATACACAGGCACATATACATGTAAGACATGAACACACACTCACACCTGTGCATAATGTGTTAAGTATGTGCTTCTATTTTGCACACCTGTAGACAACTGCACTTGGAGACTGTGTTTACATTAGTGCCCATGGTGCTCCTGGAGGATGCTAACAACAGGTACTGGGAGGCTTTAGTTTGGAATGTGAGGCTGGTCATGACGCTGGGCCATTGTCATGCCCTGAGCGCTGTACCTGAAATGTAGTCACCACAGTGGCCCCACGAAGCAGACTCTGCCATTTAGTCATTTCACCACTAAGGACACCATTAGGAGGGGCTCCCCAGTATGCGCAGGGTCACACTGGGAGGGCTGACATGGGCCCCAAGTCCTAGACCTATCTAGTCAGGCTGCTTCGGACCTCTGACCCCAGCCTTCCTGCTTAGAGCTGAGAAACAGGTCTCAACCTTAGCAGGGCTTGACCATCTGTGGCTCTATCATTTACTTTTGGAACATTCTCCACTTTAACCAAGAGCCGCCTGGGATGTACCTGTGAGACCAAATTTTTACTGGAGGAAAATTTTACCTGGGTTGTCCAATGGACAGCAGTGGAAATCTAAACTTAAGAGTTTCTGGGTGCCAAGCCTGGCTTGTTCTCAGGTGTGATGTACTCATGCTTTACTCCACTATTTAGGCTGGAAATCTGCTTAGAAGAAAGAGTGTATTTTAGAAGGTACCAGAAGAGAGTACACAGAATAAGGAATGTAAAACATACCAGGGTGGAGAAAACACAGAACTGTAATCAGTATATTCCTGAGCCCAAATGGAATCATTTGAAGACCATTATCTCCCTATAAATTTCTGAAGAAGGAATTGTTGATTTTTCTGTTAAAAAATTTTATATGGAATTACAATGACCTTTTGACATCACACATCTACCTTCATTTCAGCCCCAATTCCCACAACATGACAAAAAAAGGGAAAATTTTGAAGTATAGATCCTTTATAAAGCAGGAAAATAAAAGAGCGCCATGAGATTAGGAGAGGTTTTGAACAATTCTTGAAAGACAGAATGTAGGCAGACAGGATAAAAGCCTGTGGAAAAATAAAATTGGAGCAAAAACAAATGCAGAAGATGTTGTGAAGGCAGGAGGGGTTGGTGAGCTT